AGCTCATCCCCACGCCCTGCGGCCCCGTGAGTACACCCGCCGCCGGGAGCACCGCCCCCGGTTCCGGCGCTGGCTGGGTTAAGTCGTTGGTTGTCACATAAACCCGGGTTTTCAAAGAGCCATTCGATCCAAACAAACCAAAACCAAACCCCGCACGCCGAGGAATGACCCGCGGGGTCGCGCCCAGGCGGTGCCACAGCCCAGCCCAACCTCCAGGTGACTCTGCAGCCCCACGGATGAAGTTTATTTTGTCCCTTCACGGGGAAGTAAAGTGGGTTTTTTTATTGATTTTATTTTGTTGCTGGCGTGGTGCAGTTTATCTGCCTCCACCATTTACACTCGAGGTGTAAACCAGAAAAATCTAGGCTGAGATGAATTACAAAATAAAGCCAGACTTCTCCCTCCCTCAGCGTTCAGTTGTGCTGTGTTTTGCCTTTTTATTTCCAAGGAAAACCCTGCACTTGTGTCATTTAGCCAACGGGGTTTAATGCACTTCTTAGGAGCAGCAACTAGTTGCTACTGCATTACGTGTTTAAAAATTTCCTTCCTTTACAGATCAAACCTTGTTCAGAGCTCTCATTCCCTGTGAAGATCTACTTCTGTGTCACCATTTTGTCCCTGCTGAGTGTCATAGGGCTAACCATAGAGACACTGGTTCGACAGACTGAGGAGGATTTCACCATTTCTCTTATTCAGTTAGTTGGAGTTGGTAAGAAACCTCCTGTTTGCATTTTAAAACATTTTTCCTAAGGTAGTAACCAAGCAGCAACTGAAGTTTCTTATTTCACTCTATTTGTCCTGATGTGTTACCCACAGAACTGAGTTTAGCACTACCAAGCTGGGTGCTTTTGCCATTGTTTTCCCAGAAGTGTTTTAGGAGAAAGGTCAGTAAGAGTTGTGGTATCATCCAAAACACATTGATGTGTGAATAGTGTGGGAAAAGATTCCAGTTTCAGGAAGTTTCACTGTTAATTGCTTTCTGACTGGTGTTTGATTAGGCAGCTGTGGGGATGATTTTGCTTTCAAACAGCTGTCACTTTATAAATATTGAATATATATATATGATATACTGAATACAGATATGACACACTGGATGTTCAGCTAGGCCAGAAAGATCTTACCATTTCCCAGTTTAACCTCTGTGCTATGATCTGCTGGGGAATTCAGAGGTGTCCACACTCCAAGGCTTCTCACAGAACCTACACCTCCTGGCATGAGCCACGTTTGTACCCAAGTCCAACTGGTTTCAGGGCACCTTCCTACATTGCAAGAAACCAAACATACAAAGTTTGATCAGAAAGAAAAAAATCTTCAGTCATCTCTCTGTGTTCAGTTCCTGGAAGGATGTTGCTGAAGTATTTTAATAAAAGAAAATAAGGACCTCATTTTTTTTTTTAAAGCTCTTTTTCTTTTTTGGCCTAACATTTGCCCTGGTGGAAGAAAAATCCAAACCTCCTTGGATATTTCCAATTAGAACCTCAGTAGAAACTTATGTTCATATTCCTGGGTCTGTTTCTATTAAATAGAAATGAAATATAACATGAAAATAAATGCAACTGCAAGTATTTTAGAAGTCCTTTCCAATCAGCAGGACTTGGCTGTTAGCTCACTGACCAGAAAAGTGTCAGAGACTCTCTGTGGGTGTAACACCTTGTGTACAAGGACACACTAATCATAAGCAGTCATTGCTTTCCAGCTCTTATGATTTCCACCCAGATGGAACAAAGACAATAGATTTGTTCCAGATTCTATAATTAGACACATACAAACAATACTTTTATTCCCAAACCCTGGTTTGATTAGCAGCCTTTCACACAGGACTCAGCACAAATTGCAATGTCAGAACAGGCCATTGGTGCCTCCAATCTGTCACACTGTTTTTGTTAGCAACCACTGTTTAGTTCTGCAGAGAAAAATGAAGAACCTTCATAATAAACCAAATGAATCACATGATGTTATAAATGGGTAAGTTGAAAGCATGCTTGCTAATCTATTTTCCCCCTCCTGCCTTCTGTTGATGCTAATTGCTATTCTGTGCTGCAAAACACAGAGGAAGAAGTGCACACCTCTCACCAACCTCTGGTTTAAACCAGGAAAAATCCTGTATTTTTAACACACTTTGAAGAGGGGTGAGGATTAAATTTGTTGAAAAATACTCACTAAAAAATGAGAGGATGTCCTTTATTTCAGAGATGTGTATATACTCTAATTTAATGCTCAGAACTGTTTGTCCTCAAATTATTTGTACAGACTTTTGATTTAGCAGCTGAATTTGCAAAACAAGAAAGTACTGTCTTAAATCTTCCAGGTCTTTCTGAGGTTATAAGCATGCAAAAATGTCACACGATTCACTTTGTAATTTACCAAGCATTTTCAGTATTCTCAATCACTGTTCATAAAAGTGAAAAAGGAAGTTCATTCACTAGAAGGTTTGTTTAAGGGGAACTGAAGTTATGATGTTACTTTGGAAACTTCTACAACACTTTGTCCCCATGTCCCTAGGAAAACTAGATTATTTGATGTGCCGAATCCAGGAAGTAACCCTCTGGAAAAAGAAATCTGTTGTTACTTTGTCTATGGTAAGAATTAAGGAGTGTTTGCAGGAGCATCCTATGCAAGAACAGAGCACTGATGCCTGCTTTTGCCAGAAGAGATGTGTGGTGTTCAACTGTGAAAGCAAACTGTGGTGTTGAGTGGTGGGTTTTGATGTATTTTATAAAAACATAACTCAGAAATTTCTTGAACCAGTTCTTTTCTGGACTGTAATTTGCAGGGTGGGATGTTGCAGGATTTCCACAACCAAACCAAATTGTTAGGAATCCAGTCTGTCTAAAGCTCAGTTTAAGACAAGCCATTTGTAGTGGTCAGAACCACACAAATCATACAGCAGAGGTATGTCTTATGAGCAGTGAATTCCTTGTTAGTCACTTGAATTACTCTCACTGGGAACAGCATATAATTTCAGTTCTTTAATAAAAATTATGTTGCTTCATTTCATTAAAATATACAATTCAACATTATGTTGAATATGCTATTAATAGAGTAACATACCACATCTGCCAATTTGGACAGCTAATATGCTGCCATTGTCAAAGTGTTACTTCACAAGTAATTTAAAAATCTAACTAATTGTTTTATTTCTTGTAAGCTAAACAGGGCAGAGTACAATTTTAGCTGCCTGGTTCAGGCTCCTTAGCAAGAATAAAGATACACTCTTGCCTGAGGAGCCGGAGTCTTGATATTCCCATCTTGTCACCTGGATCAAACATGTTGAAAATCTGTGTTCACTTGGTAACTGACCTTTCCTTCTCCTTCCCAGTGTTCTGTGTGTACTACGTGACCAGAGGAATCCTGCAAGAGAATCGCCAGGAGCTCATTGTTTTTGTCCTCTCCATCTTGTTAGTGATGCTTCGTTCCATTGTCAACTTCACTGTTCTCTCTGCTGAGCAGAAGCCAAAACTCCTGGTTAGTCTCATGGCTTTAATTAACTTTGCTTTTCCCCATGTCTTGGATTTGAAAATCTCAGAAAGGCAGGATAGCTGTGATAAGGACACTGATAACAGAGAGAAATCAGGCTGAATTATTCCTACCATCAAGGAACAAAATGTGCACCTCCACAACTGCAAATATGTTTCTTAGAGCTATTCCATGGATTTCTTTATGGTAGTAGCTGAAAGTAGCATAAAAATAGAATAATGTTACTGACACAGGCTTGCCACAAAAAATAACCTTCACTTCACCCACTCTGCTTCAGATTTCCATCCATAAAATGCAGCGATGTGTTTTTAAGAGAGTTATGATAACTTGCTGCAAGGAAATAAACAGATACAATGTGCTAGGGAAGGTGCTGCCATTCCAGATTATCTTGTTTGCATTTCATTACAATAAAATGTAACAGGGGAATTTTATGCTCTGTGATACCATGATTTCTAGCTGAACTTCCGTCCCTTTGCTGTGCTTCTCAGAAGTCCTTCCCTTTTGCAATCACACATTTATCACAAATATGAGAGGGAGGTTCCTTGCTGTGAAGTCTTAAAAAAACCTGTTCTTTGATGGAAGGGATGGCCTCCAAGCAATGAAGATGCAGCAAAGCAGAATTTGCCTACTTATCTACAGAATCTGGGTTGTTTAGGGTCAATAAGGAACAGACATCAAAGAGATGCAAATTTCTGTCAGGTAGGCATCCCAGTCATTGGCTCCTGGATGAAACAAGAACCTCAAAGTAAAGCCTGGTCTAGAAGATGCACTGTTAAGGACTTATTTTACTACTATAAAAGTAACTTGGATTACTGTAACCCCTTCCTTAGGATGTGAGCTTACAGTTATTAACAAGCAGTTGCAACAAATGGCAAAAATCATGGCCTGGTCTTGGTCACTTCAAGTGGCAAACTGTTCTTTTTAATTGTTGTCTATTTAAATTGCTATTAAGAGGCAGCCTGGTACTCCTTACTACTTTATTCTTTGGGCACCAGTTGGAAGATGTAAGGTTAAAGACTGTCCCTGTTTTGGCCTGGCCAGTCACATCCTTATTTCTCTTTCCCATCAGGCTCGCTTCATTCTGATCCTCTTGGTTGGTTCCTTTGATGTGATCTGTGCCATCATCCTCATCCAGAGTCAAAGCATGATGGCCTTTCGAGTGGGTGGTGCCCTAGAAAGCCTCCAGTCCCAATACTTCATGCTGAACCTCTGTTTTTCCATGTTGACCTTTGATCTTCAGGCACAGGTATAGAACTCTCTCCCCCTTTTTTTCCTCCATTTGAGAATATCTTAGAATTAACCAGCTGAACTGAACTGTTAACTCCCTAGAGCAACCCTCCCTATATCTTACCTTTTAGAGACAATTAGCTTAATAGTGATCATCCATCCAGGTTTTTGCTCTAGGGGAGCTTAGTTAAAATCCATAGAAATAAATCAACATCTATTTTTTCATTGTCCTGCCCAAAAGGAAAACTGAACCTTAATTTTGGAAGTATATAAAAACAAGTTCATCCAAAAGCTCCAGCCCAACACAGCCTCCTAAAACAAGCAAAATTATTACTGACAGCCTACAGTCTCTTGCTTTCAGCCATCCTAGCTGTCTCCTACATTTGAGAAAGTGCTCCTGGGATGGGAGAGGGGAGCCTGAACTAGCAGAGCAATTGGGGTGAGACAGCAACCAGCAGTTACAGATAAGTGAAGTGAACCCAGGGTCCTCTTAGAAAGAGTTTGTATTTCCATAGACTGCCCTTGATTCTTACTTTACTACTATACTACCCTGTATTACCTTCATCTTGATCTGGAGCACACCTTACTGGCTAGAGAAAAATGTTAGCCTTTAGAGCTGTGTATGGTCTCAAACTAATATTTTTACCAAATCTTTGCCTCTTCTCTTTCAGCTCTGTTTGTGTATTCTGCTGATAAGCCTGCATGAGATCACCCTTCTACATAACATCATCTCAGCAACAGGGGCTCTTTGGGCCTGCCTGAAGGTGACCATTAGCATCATTGCAGTAAGTGCTGAGCTAACAGCAACACTTGACAAGAATAGTTAACTTCTGAGGCTGCAAGTTCTCACCCTGAGCAATTATCACTGACTGGGAAGTCAGAGCCATCTCATTCCATGTAATACTGCTAAGTGGAAGGGAGCCAGAATGAATCCCAGCAGATAATGAGAGCACCAACAATAAGTCAGGCTTCTTACAAACCTGTGTTTCTTAGCTGAGCACACAGGATGAAACCACATCACACTATCAGTATTCCTTTCTGAGGCACTTTCTTTTATTCTCAGTCCTTGATCACCTACTTTATTGAAACCTCTGGGATCACAGGGTCTTCAATATTTCTACCTCTCTGACCAGGTTAGGTCACGAAAATAGATATACAGACTGCATAGGGCTTATATCCTTAGGAAACCACACCAAAAAGACAAGTGGTCCTTTACTAGGGCAGCTTCTTTAAAGGCAAGTGACAGTTTTCAGGTTAAGATAAGAATTTGTGAACTTGAAAGGTTGTTTTTCATGTCAGTCAGACTGAGCTTCCTTTGAAATCTTGAGAGCTTTGTTCCAAGGGTGATTGCAGAATCAGGGCCAAAGTACATCAGATATCTGAGTCTTTTATTACCACGAAGAAGTTTAGGTGGGTTTGAGTTTGTTGAGGTATTTTTTAGGCTCCTTGGGTGTTTGCTTTAGCCAGTCAGACAAATTTCTGGCAGTTGGAATACAGCTTTCCAAGTGTTTGAATTATTTCCTTGCTAAAATGAAGTTAACACCAAGCACTATGCTTTTAAAATACTGTAGTAACTTCAGGTGAATAGTTGCACAGATTCACCTTTCTCCTGGACTTTGGAGTGTTGTGGCTTATCCAGCAGGGAAAAGGGGAGACAAGACTAACTGTGAGTGTGACACTCAGGAATGCAGATAGCAATATTGTAGCTTGGTTTCCTCCTAGGAACTCCTTATGTAGCTTTGTAAGGCACAGGCTCTTTGCTTTCAGTTAAATTGTATCAGATTTGGGAAGAAGGGATCAATTAGAACCAGGTCTGTTTTCCTGCTAGGATTAAAAGTGTAAACCTGTCAGCTACTTTTTCCCCACCATCAGGAACAAAGTTGATCCAACCAGTTGCCATTCACAGCTTACCAGTTCTTTGCTTCTCCTCAATTTGCCTTTAGGTATTAAAAGAGGCATTTTAGTTAGATGGTGTCATGTCTTAACACACATTATATTCCTTATGCCTTCATCAACAGCAAACATGTTTCTCAATAGTTAAACTAGTTACAGTAAACGTTCTAGGGGTAAGTACATATTCTTGCCCTTTGCTCAAAACTCTCTGCTTTAGAACTACTTGAAAGCTACTTTTTACCCAGTCTGGATACATTACTGACTTCTTTACTGGAAGAAATTAACAGGCTCTTGTCTAACTAAGAAATGACAAATGTAAAATTAATGACAAAACACTGTAGTTCTATATTTCACTTGCAACACAACAGCCAATTAGAAAAGGTGGATACATCTCATGGGAGTCTGGTGGCTTTGCATCCAAGGTCAAAATGACTCTGTCTTAGGCAGTTTGGCAGAGGGGGCACAAGGGGAGCTGCTTTTCCTGACCCTGTTCCGACAGGTTTTTTCAGAACCAGCTTCTGACAGATGATGCAGCAGCAGAGAAACACATATCATGGTTTTATTTGGTGCTCTCAGAAACAGCACCTGCTGTGAGGTTGTTAAGCAAGAAAGGTATGGGGACATCCATAACCCATCAGAAATTAGGAGCATAACAGAAGGGAACACACGGTGCTTTCTGGCAACCACAATCCCTGAAAGCACAGCTAACACCCATGCTCCCAAATTTCTGGGTTCACAAGGGGCTTATTCATTATTCTTTTATTTATATATATACCCTTCTATTTACATTGTGGTTTTATTTTTCTTGTCTCCATTATTTATTTTCTCTCTTTTTTCCCTGTTAATGACTATTTCTCTCTTTCCCCCTCCCTGTTGGTTCTCAGCCTTTTTTTTTTTTTTTCCTTTCCCTTTTGGTCCTCCTATCCTAAGAGGAACGGTGCTTTCTGGCAACCACAATCCCTGAAAGCACAGCTAACACCCATGCTCCCAAATTTCTGGGTTCACAAGGGGCTTATTAATTATTATTTTATTTATATATATACTCTTCTATTTACATTGTGGTTTTATTTTTCTTGTCTCCATTATTTATTTTCTCTCTTTTTTCCCTGTTAATGACTATTTCTCTCTTTCCCCCTCCCTGTTGGTTCTCAGCCTTTTTTTTTTTTTTTTTCCTTTCCCTTTTGGTCCTATCCTAAGAGGAGCACTGTGCAGCACCACAGAAAACAGAGACAGTACTAGAGGTGGAAGAGAACTGACAAAATCCCTTAGGGGAGGGACAATTCCCTTAGTGCTAGTGTAGAGGTTCATATACTGACCATTGTAGAAAGATCAATACTGGTCTTGAGGGAAATCTGTGGTTGATCAGATGCACCAAATCTTGTCTCAGCATTGGCAAAAGTCACTGCTTTCACTCCCAGTGACTCAACTGTTTTTCTTTCATTTGTTTAGACCTGCCCTTCCAGTTCAGGACTGCTGAAAGTTGCTACCTGCTGGTAGAAATTAACCATCATGAATGGTTCATTGTGAAACAAAATTTTTCTGACAGTTAAATCCTCTTTCTCCTCCTACACTTTAGTCCTCAGTGACTTTAATTCTCTATAGTAGAAACAAAGGTGGAGAAAGAAGTCACAGGGTGCTTTCAGTGTGTGAGCTATCAAAACATTAATTTGTTATAGAAAAATCTGAGCGTACCCACAGAAAAAGTACATCAGCTTAGATGCAGAGATGGTTCAGATCAGCAGTCAGGATAGGCCCATGAAACCACCAGTTCTCATTTCACTAACATCACAGCTTGCTGGAAAAGAGACTATTTCCTGCTAAAAAACAGAAGTAGAGAAAGCAAGTAGGGAGCAAAGTTACAGCTGAGAACTCAGCTAGACCAACAGTTGAGATGCTATAGAAAAATCAACTTTGCCTTTATAGAGTATTAGCAACTTGTTATAAAACTGTATATATCTCATCTTATTTTACAGATTTTAAAAGAGCTGAAGCCTCTAGTGTGGATTTTTATGAGTCAGAATGTACCTGAAGTAGTTTATCTCATCTACCTGCTCTGCACGGTAATTCAGCAAACTTACTTGCTTGATAATGGGAGCAAGACTAGAGGCTTTCTCTTCCTCACTGGATCCTTGGGCCCAAAAATGGTGCCTCACTCCTGAGCATACCCCTTTGTGGCAGCTTCTGCTGGAATCAATGAGGGCAGCAGGCACACCCTACCTCTCCAGGATCCACTTTTCAAGACAGGGACTATATCATATTGCTGTTGAACTGAGTAGTTAGAGGGACCTAGGAAGGCCCTGGAAGTCTCTGCAACTGGCAAAGTGTCCAGAATGATGAGAGAAAGATACAGCAAAATCTTCCAGTACAAGATAACACAGCTCCTCAAAAATGCCTCCCCTCCTTCACAACAAGTCTCCAGTGGTGCCAGAGCATTTGGCCTGATGAAGTCTGCTTTCCTTATCACTTCAGCTTAATGAATTTTAGCCAGAGTCTGTATGTAGCCAGGGAATCATGTAATCAGGAAAGTAAGATGTTTTAGAAGTAACCGGGTTTTGCCCCTCCCAACTACTATCTTTAGGTTTATTTCAGAAACATAGTGCTTGATTGCACTTTATAGCTTCAGGGTTTTGTGTTGATTGGTTTATGTCTCTATTTTCCTGCAGGTGATAAGGGAGTGGGGCAAAGGGAATTCTTACACTCTGGAAGCTGCTTTCATTACTGGCTCTTGCATTTCTGTTGCAATAAAATCTGTTCTGTTTTGGGCACTGTTCCACGTCTACCGCAGCTTTGGGCAGGGGCTGAGAGAAAGAAGTAAGTACTTTAAAAGCTTCATTTAACTATGAAGGTTGTAGCTTATTGTATCACAGTCACAATGAAGCAGAGAGCTTGTTGAGCCAAGAGAACAGTTAGGGATAGCCACAAGAAAAGGCAGATCCCTAATGGCATCAAATCACTACTGCAGCCTCAGAATTCACTGGCCTGACAAAGCTCAGAAGCTTGGATGGAACATACATGACCTCTCCTTGAAGAAAATTGACATTAGTCAAGGTTGCTTCCAACCTATGGAAGAATTGCTGCTACCCAGAAAAACAGACCTGTGTGGAAAATCTCCTCTAGATAAGACATGTCATTTTTTTCTCTTTATCATGCTCTGTAACTGCCTTCTAATAACAAAGAGAATAAAGGGACCTAGAAAGCCACAAATCTTACCCTACTTGTACATGAGGGACATAAATGCTGCTGGGCATTGGCGCTGACTGATCTCCGTTTCTTCCCACAGTGTTTTCTTCCTATGGAAGGATCGACTCCTGAGCACCCCCTTCGTGTTCTGGCTGCAGCTCTTAAGAGTGAAGTCAGAGCTGGGGAAGCTCTGATCAAGGGACTCTCCTCCAGGATGTAAGATAATGGGTCAGTTTCACAGAGGAGGGGAAGCTGCTCAGAAAAATGTCTACACATTCCTTGGTTTGTGTTGTGCTAGGGAGCTATAGCAGTGCAGCTGGTAACTTAGTTTAAAAAGCAAAGTGCACTCGGGAAATTAACAGTAATCCTCTCAATTCACTGAGTTTTGCTGACAGGACAATGCATCTCTCACTCCTTGTTTTCCTGATGTTGCTTTGTAACCACAGGAGGATCACAATATGCATGTGAGTAGAGAATGTTGTTAATAAGTGCTTTTTTTTTTTCTGGATATATACAAACATAATGAAAATAATTTGTACACTCATCTTTTATTGCTGAGTCTGGAAGTAGACTTCCCTACCATCGTCTCAACTCAGATCTGCTGCTGAACAGAGGGGCCAGCCTGAAGATGGTTTGATGGCAGCTGTAGGCCCTGATCTCCACCATGGCTGTGATGGGTTAACCCCAACAGAATGGCTCCCTGGACTTCAGAATACTGCCATTTTGTTTTTTTTTTCTAAATCCCAGCTACACATGAGCACCAGACAATGTAATCTCCTGCCTTCCTGCAGTGTGTCTAACCAATGTGCCATTTCACACACAATGGTGACTTAAAATAAGCCTTTCATATTGTAATTTAAAAGTTTGGTATTTTATTGATTGGAACCTTTAGCTTTTTTAATAAAGTATAAGCACAGTTTGCTCATGGATAATTATTTCTCACTTCAGCAGCATGATTTCAGCACAAAGCCTCTACAGAGTATGGAGGAGTCTGGAACTACAGTTCACATGTGCTCTGAACATTGTCATCATGTTCCTCTTCAGATACACCTTTAACTTGCAGGTACCTGTACACTGCAAGAAGTTTACAAAAGAGCTCATTGCAGCTTGTCAGGAAAATTTACACAGATGGTCTCAAAACTTCTATTAAAAAAAACAATTTATCATCCCAGTCTTCTAAACATGCAACAAATGCTACAGCTGGCAGACTGCAGGCATGAGGAGGTTAAATGTCTATGGTCAGACTGCACAAAGCTGACAATATCAAGAGAAAGCACTAGAGTACCAGCTGATGATGGTGACTTCATGCCACAAGTCAAAATGTGACTATGAATTGTTGCTGAAATGGAGGAACACAACTAAGCATGTTCAGTCCTTTCCTAAAACAAGCCAACAGGCAGCAGGTCTTACCTAGAGCAGGACCACTGAGGGAAGACTTCCATCTTGCTGCAGACCTGTACTTGGTTGTCTTCCAAGGCAGTAATTGTGTACACCTGATTTTACATTCTCAACAGTCAAAATGCTGCTTTACAAATCCAGCTTTACAAAAAGATTTTATTGAAATTATTGAAAAATATTTATTTTCAACAATATTTAAAACAAGTTTTCAAAGCATTAACAATATGTAACAGGATTTTTTCCTCTTTTAAAAATTCAGTACACTGCTTTATACCATATTACATCAGTTGTTAATAACTTCTGAAACTCTACTAGAGAATAACTTAAAAAAAATTAATTTCCAATCTTCCATTTTGGCCCTTTGTAGACTGGAAAGGATTTGTAGATATAGCGACATTTACAAACCCTTATTTTAGGAACACTGCTTTTGATCAGCATAAAAACTATTTTACCAGCACAGTTGAAACAAGTTCCTTTGAGCAAGCTATGCCAGCAAAATGAGCTTTTATTGCCAATATAACCAAGTCCACATCACAGCTTTTTTTTCTGGTTCAGCTGTGGTTTGCACAGAAGTAACCCCCACTATAAGCATTTAAATATGCAAAACTTGAGTGCTGCTCAAACCTCACTAGCCTGGTTGGGAATTGCTGGTTTGTGGATTAAAGGCCTTGAAAAGGGACTTTGTACAGTTAGATAAATTTGTAATGTATTAACACAATTTGGGTTATGTTTTGATATAAAGCAGCTAGTACAATTATCATCAATGCAGCTTTTGAAGAAAAAGCAAAGACTAAAGTCAACATGTGACTTTCTTTCCTTTAGCCAGTGACTGTAGCTCTCTACTTGGCTGGTCAGTGACCCAAATAAGATTTTTACCAAGTTCTTCAAGCAAATTGCAGAAGCCTCAAAGCCAGTAATGCAATTGCAGTACATGATAAATTTAAAGACAACTCCTAAAGTAGATCTAATGTAGAGAAAGTAGTTAAGTTTTGATTACAGATTTCATTTATCATACACTCTGAAAATTAAAGTTCAGCAATTTAGTCAATAATAGATTTACTATTATAAAAAGCATAAATAAAAAGTGCTGAATATAGTTTTATCTTTAAAAAAATACTAGATAAGGCTCATTAATCATTTCACCTCTCCTCCACAAAATGATTTCCACTTCCTAGAGTGACTATTCTGCTTGCTTTTTTTTTTTCACATAACAATACATTTATATAACCACTATACCCTGTTCCTTTTCTCAGTTATTGCATGTTTAAATAAAAAAGTTTCAAAGCAAAAAAGTCTGACACTTCTATAGTTCAAAAAGTAAACAGTTATTTAATAACTGAATACTCCACCTAGGAAACCCGTAAGCAGCTTCAAAACAGTGGTAAAACAATTACTGCAGATTCAAGTGAAAGATAAATCCCAAAACCTATCTGGATAGTCTCCAAGATATCACCAAATTTGCCTACTTAAGACCAAATCAAACCAACATTCTATTTTACAAAATTTACAAACCGAGTATTAATTTATATTAACACATTTTCATGGTGATTGGTATAATTAACCAAGAGTCTGCGTGTCTTTTATGGAAAAGTGCTCTCACCTGGATTTAATAAAATTAGACAGACTAGGGCAGCATCCAAAATGGAAGAGACATGATTTAAACCACCAGAAGACAGCAGGTCAGGCAAAGTTTGGAAATTAGTACATTTCCCATTACCATTTTGAAACACAAACAACATAAGACAATCATGAAAAATTCAACACAGCTTCCAAGGAAATCCCACCTTAATCAGTAAATTAATTCCTCCACAATATTGTGCCATAGGCTTAAATTTAACAGAAAAAGTCAATTTCTTTAATGACCAATGTAGCAAGACTTCGAAAATGCAGAAGTTTGGATAGTATGATCATAAGACTGCACCACAGAGAACATAAATGTAAACATTATACTTGGGTTTGATATTTTTCAGTTAAATTATCAGTACAAACCCTTTCCCCCCAACAAGTTTTTTTGTTGGTTTTTGTTATTCTTTCATAAAAGCACATACAACAAAATATGCACATAGAGAAGTTAGAAACATCTGAAAGCATCTTAAAAAAGTAAAGAAGAGACTTAGAATATTTTGAGTGTGCTGAAGGCACCATTGCTACTCCACTGGGAATGTGTCCTCTCATTTATCAGCCCACCAAAGCAGTATCCCTTTCTATGTCACTCAGCACCAAGAGCTGGAAGGTATCCATGGAAGTTGAGGGCACTCAAGGTCTAGTAAAGGATATTTTTTTTTCAAGACAACAATGGAACTAGACAATACAGCAGTAATTGAAGTCTAGATTCTTCTTGAACACTTGAAGAATTATTATTATTTTTTACTTTATAGTCCTTAAAGCTACCATTTATTCCGGAGAATCGACCAAAAGGTAAGAAAAAACACCACATGGTGATTCCCACCAACAGGAACTGCAGAGCTACAAACTAGCTCAGCTACACAAGTGGAGATCACTGTAATAACCAACTAAGCCCGTGCTAATGCTTGGCCATGCTGTTCATGGATATTTACACAGTGATGACAGTCAAGGGTCAAACACTGTCCAAATGGGCTTAAGATATGTATCGTTATATAAAATAAATATATATAGGGTTTTTTTAATAGTTCCATCTATTAATAAAAAACATTCTTCATGGTTGTTTCTTCACAGTGCATCACATTCAGAAGTAAGGAGAAAGTACTTTAAGTGCTTTCTTGAAGGGGAGTTGTTCTGGGCAAGACATTTAAGCTAACAAGGAGGAGGGTTGGTTGTTTTTTTTTTTAAAGAAAATTTCTTAAGAGCCTTCATATGCATAGCAGTCTTAAATGGAATTACAAACATACCAAAGTAAACAGGCTATTTTAATGCCTTTTCTATTTGTATATACATTCAGCCTACCACATTACTGGTAAGTTACATGTTACAATCAAATCTACAGATGCAGTTGCCAATACCAATCAGAAAGAATCCATTTTCAGATTGCTCATTTAAAGGAAATTCAAACTGTATTACAACAATCAGAGCCTAATTTCTTCCACTCCTACTCTTGGTGAACAGGAAGTAGCACAATTTCCAGCCATCAACAGATCAGAGAGATATAAACCATAATCATCATATACATCTGAGATGGTGACCACACTTGTTAGCCAAAACCTTAAAAACCCAAGTATACAGAAGGGATACTGCCACTTTCCATTTCCATGAGTCTTGTTAGATGCAGACACTCAAAATTCTTCTTCTTCAACAGCAAAGTTGTTTTGCTTCTTCCGAACATTCCAGTGTAAACACTCAGCCAAGCTTTCAAACCAGTCGCTCACAGGATCTCGGAAACAGATTGAAGGAAGGGGATAGCAAGAGGTAGTGATGCTAATACTGCAACAACACAGGAATACCCCAGTCAGTCGAGGGCAACAAACAGCATATTGAAAAAATAAATAATTCTTCTCTTGACAAGCCAACACAGTAAAACAGCCAGTTTCCACAATCCAGCAAAAACCAAGCCTGCAGGCTCACTGAAACAGTGAGCACAGGGGTTAACATTTAACAGCTGCACTGTGGACAGCACTCTGTGCCACAGGGAGAATACTGAGCCCACTCCATGGCATCCTGCAATCTTTTACTGATCTTCACAACAGCACAGGGACAGAGGAAAAGGTAAGTCACCATCTTGGCCTCTAAATATCAAATTTTAACTAAAACCAACAGCACTAAGAAACCCAGCATCTAACAAAGGACCAAACCTCATGTTTGAATCCTTACTAGTCTCCTGATCTGATCTATCCATCTTCCAACCTCAGAGGAGATAAAACAGTTCAAGATGAAGTGTCATGTCAGCTTTTATGGACCATGGGAAAACAGAAGCCATCCTGAATAGTAAGCCTACCATATGTGATTACATATCACACAGCTGCCTTAGATCACCTCCTATCAGGACAAGCCACCACATTTTGCACAGAAACACTGATGAACCTTCACATGTTGCTCTC